TTATTGAATACGCAACCCCTTTACAAGTTAAAAAAATTTTGCCGACCCCCAGGGCCATATTTAAACTATATCAGTGATTTTAAAAACTACGTATTTTAATTTTCTTTCTTTAAATATCGATCGAAAAACCAATTGTACTGTAAAATAAACAGACACAGCCTTCTCACTGAAATTCTAGTTTTTTTTATTGTAGTGTAGGACCTACAAACACTTGTCTTTTCTTACACCCGCGACCCCCTGTGTAAGGCTTTGCAACCCCATGGGGGTCGCGACCCACAGGTTGAAAAACACTGTTCTATAATATTCCTGTGATTGTGGCTTGTAAACTAAAGAAGAAATTTTCTTTTCTTTAGTTTACAAGAATAAATGTTTAGATTTACAGGTTTCTATTATTATTATTATTATTGTGTTGGGTTTAGTGCAGGCATGACCAACATATGGCCCGCGATTAATCTTTCAATATTAGTTACTTAAGTCCGAATCGCGACGAAAAATTCTGACGCCTAAAACAACCAAAAAAAAAAAGGCGGGTCAACAACTAACTGTGCATTTAGAGTTACCACTCCATTACAAATGTCTTCAGCATAGCATAGAATGTTGATAATGCATGGTAATGTGAAAAATGTATCTGTAATCTCTATGTACAATTTAGTCTCTATGGAGTGACACCACAATGAGATCCCACACTACCTCAAAATCTTGCTAGGGCAGCTTCTGGTTCGGCCTGTGAAAAAAGTTTTCTTTTGAATTTAGCCTGGGGGCAAAAACTGTTGGCCACTCCTGGTTTAGTGGGTTATACTCGGTTCACACTGGTGGCTGTGTAGTATGCTGGACCAAAGTCAAGGCATAGCAACCAAAAACAAAAATTAAATAAGTCATTTGTCAGTATCTGTATTCAGGAATTTCCTAACAATGTGAAATGTATTCAATATAGTGGCTTTCTGTAGTGTGATATATGTATTTCTATTCAATTGTAATGTTTCCAGGCTTTTGTATAGTGTGTGTGGTATCAGACATGTACAGGAGAGAACGACAGGTATAATAAGCACCCTATCCATCCTCCACAGATGCCTTATTTCCTGGGAAGTTCTGTGTACTTGCTAATTTTTTTAGTGAATGTGTTTTGTATATTGTGAGTGTTTAGAATGGATATGTCTACAATGTATATGATTTTATTGTGTTTGTCAACGAGTGTGATGTCTGGTCTGTTGTGGTAAATTGTTTTTTATCTGTAATTATGGCTCTGTTGTATACATTTTGTGCGTGTTGTTTTCCAATACTGTCTGTGGAATGTATTTGTAGTATGGTTCGTGGATATCTAATAATTGGTGTTTCTTTGCAAGCTCTTGGTGTATTATATTTGCTACTTGATTATGTCTGTGTAAATAATCTTGTGTAAGAGCTTGCAACCAGAAGTAATGTGTTGTATAGTTTCTGGTATGATGTGACATTTTTTGTATGTGTCATTTGTGAGTGTTGTATCTTTGAGTATGTGTTTTCTGTAGTTTTTAGTATTTATGACCTGATCCTGTAAGGCAATCATGAATCCTTCCATCTCCCCAAAGAGGCATCCCCGAGCTAACCAGCTGTTTGATGCAGTTTTGTCAACAAAATCCTGGGTCAGGTCATAAGGATGCCATGGAGTGCCTTTCGAGCCCACAATTGCTTGATGGTGTCTATGCTTTTTATATGTTGTGTCATGTCTGTATGATGTGAGTGTAAGTTTAAAGATGTGTTATTTGAGTCTGCTAGACTTACTGCTTTATGTAACTGTGATGTTTCTCTTTCTTGTAGAAAAACTCTCGCAGCGACTGTATTTGTTTATAGTGAGGGTTTACTATGTGTAAGATGGCCGATCCGGGAGAGAAAAGGGGCTTGAAACCCACTTCACGGCACCTGTGTAAGGATGCCGTCTCTTAGGTGGGATCTATTAATCCCGCGTCAGGATGGACCTAAGGGAAGGTTGTATGTGGGCTGTGACGGAGGAGGTAAAAGATGACAAGTGTTTTACACAAGAAAGCCGTTTATTTGTTAACATATATGCTTACATCGGCAATCGACAGTCCTTCACTAGATTCTTCCCTCGAAGATGCGGAGTGTGAGAACTTCGGCGTCGGTCGTAGCCCCGGGGCGGACGAGATGCTGTTGCTGATCACGGCGGACGATCGGAAGATATAAGCGGCGGAGTCCACAGTTCCTTTGCGACGACACACCACAATAGAAGTCACTACCTTTCGTGGAGTCGGAGGAGAGCC